TATGAGGAGAGGCTGAGGGAGCTGGGGTTGTTTAGTCTGGAGAAGAGAAGGCTTAGAGGTGACCTCATCACTCTCTTCAACTACCTGAAGGGAGGTTGTAGCCAGGTGGGGGTTGGTCTCTTCTCCCAGGCAACCAACAATAGGACAAGGGGACATGGGCTCAAGCTCTGCCAGGGGAGGTTTAGGTTATATATTAGAACCAAGTTCTTTACAGAGAGAGTGATCAGGCATTGGAATGGCCTGCCCAGAGAGGTGGTGGATTCACCGTCCCTGGAGGTTTCTAACATGAGGCTGGATGTGGCACTGAGTGCCATGATCGGGTAATCACAGTGGGGTTGGATCAAGGGTTGGACTTGATGATCTCGGAGGTCTCTTCTAACCCAATTAATTCTATGATTCTATGATTCTATGTATAAATCTGAGGAGGGGCAGTGGTGGCGAGAGGAAACCATGGCAATTCAGGTCACAGGTGCCATGTGAGCTTTAGCTTTGTTGTTGCACACATCAGCTGGCCAAGGAGACAGGTGGAAACTGGAGCTGTAAATTCCAAGATGCCTATGAGCTTAATGAATAAGAATGAGCAGGTAGCTAGAAAAAAAATCCAGAGCCCTGGAAGTCTGATGCTTTTCTGATCAAGAAGCCTGTTTTTCTTAAGCTTTCATAAGCAAGCATCACACTGTCGTTGATCACTTACAGTGAATTAATTTCAGAGAAATGTTTTATCTGAAAATGTTAACCTAATTCTAAACAAAATTACATACTAACAAAAAATAATGCTAAATAGTAGTAGGTATTACATATGTTTGGGTAGATATGACTCTGGAAAAAAAGCTATTGGGAAACGGTAATTTCTCAAAAGATCTCAGCAATACTTTTATAGTACTGCTAACATCATTAAACTCCATTAGATTTTAAAATAATTTAAAAAAGAAATGCTAGAAATTTCTTAATTCCACTACAATCTCTTCCTGTGACTCCAGAAATGAAGAACAAGATACTGAACTAGTTAAGTAAGATGGCGTGTGCTCTCTTTCTCTCTCTCTCATTTTTAGATATACAATAGAAACATCTGCAAAACAATTTCAATTTCCTGGAAATATATTTAGAATTAAGTGCCTCAGGAAACAACTATTTTGCTAATCAGTTACAGTCATGAACATGATTATAAGCAGGACCACATACCACTACAGTTATCCTTTAGCAGAAGAAAATTGTTAGAACTCAGTTGTTTAAACCTTCACAGTTACTTTCAACACCTTGTGAAATCCTTGCCCTGTGCCTGCTTCTCTAAAAGGATATGTGTGGCCAGTATGTCTTTGGTTATATTTTGCAATGTTTGGTACCCAAAGACACCTGTAATCATCTAAAACTGCACTATGTCTGTGATTAGACATCTGCATCAATTCCAGGAACTTTTAAGTACCACCAATATTTTCCAGTTTTCTTAATTCAAGACTGAATTTGGACTTGGTGGAAGTAAATCAAAACAGAAAGATGAATTCTGGTTCCTGTTCTTCTGGAATACTGATTCATATACATTAACAATTATATATAAA